TTACCTCCGCCAATCTATATCCGAGACCTCTACAGTTTGCACTGCGATCTAATAAGAACCAATGCTTATTCGGTTAAGTGCGCGGTCGGCGCCCGTTAAGCTATAGTACACCTACTCGCTAGGAGAGTCGCCTTCGCAACGTCTTACGTCGGCAAAGCCTATCGGAGACTAAAGAAGGACTAAACAAACTCTACCTATCGAGGAACCTCGACTATTTAATAAGCGGCTCTGTCGGTAGCAAGCCGCAGAACTAGCGAGGAATGGTATTAATCGCTATAAAGCTACCTATATACGACAAAGAGGTATCGACACTATTGCTATAGAAAGCCGATAGCTAGTGTATTACTAGGGGTGTTAGTATATTAGTATATAGAAGAAGAAGAAGAAGTTAAGGTTAGAAAGCGGAGGTCGATATGCTACGCCGCGTAGGTAAGGTTTGCCTCTACTAATAGCATTGCACTATTGCGATAATAGTAAGGCGACAATAACGGCTATATATTACCGCACCTGCGAGGCAAATACATAAATGCCTAAGGCTATCAATCTAGAGCTATATAATAGACGATACTAGCATATCGAGCAATTGGCGCTATTAATCAAAGAAGTAGAAACTATTCTCGTCGTCTATTGTTCTAGTATCTCCCTTCTAGTATAGTATCCTAAGGAAGCCCTCCCTATATACATTTAAGGATCTCTAGTTTAGAAGTTACTGCTACCTTTAACGCTAAATGCATCACCTATCCCTCTAAGCAGACTAATACTAGTATTAGTACTAGTACTAGTAAGGTCTAGAGTCTTAACATTCTTAACAATTCGAGCGAAGCTATCTACTATATCGACCTACGTATTATCTCGCTCTAGATTAAGGACAGCATCCTTAGCTAGACTAAGATCAACACCTTTACTAAATCGCGTAGCGGCATCTAGACCCTCTAACACATTAGCCCGCAATACTGTCGAGCGACCTCGCGTATATCGCTTATTTGCCGCATTAAATATATCGACTACAGATAGTATTAAGTCTGCGCCGAGCTCGTAGATATTGTCCGAGAGTGCGAAGCTTCCGTACTACTATCTAGTAAAGCCATCGACGCGAATCTTGTCTGAGCGATTGAATACACTTATACTGATATCCTTCTCGGTACGATAGCTCGTACGCTAGACGCCTAAGCTTTCCTTAAATATACCTTTAATAAGACGAGAAGACTTACGGTTTATAGCAACCTTCTCGAATACGGTAGGGAGGTCGTAAGTCGAGTTACCGAGGCGGGCATAGTCTTCTAAGAGATTATAGTTATAGAGCTCAATTATCTTATTAGCACTAATAGCATAGCCCTTCTTACTAGATAGATTGACGTATACGGTGCTAAGAATAGCCTTCTGTAGTTTAGGTGTACTATCTTCATTTAGGAGGTGATGCATATATACTATTAGTCGACTATAATTAGCCTAGCTAGCGCTAATAAAGTATAGAACTATATAATTAATACATCGGCGGATATAACCGACGTCCTCTATTCGTACTACGTAACGAAGCCGAAAGAAGAGGGAGGCCTCCTTTAGCATTCTGTATATCGACGTAAAGGCTATATCTAGACCGACTAGTAGACCGACTAGTAGACCGACTAGTAGATCTATAGCGCCCTCGTCGATAGTCGGCGGATGTTGCATACTATCCTAGGCCTCCGGTAAGAAGACTAGCTATCGGATCTGCTTTAAGATGTCGAGGTAGTTAGAGGCAGTTACCTTATCCTTAATAGCCTACTTAACAACCTTATACCGAGTCTCCTCTCCCCTCGATAGATCTATTATATCCTCGGCAATAATCTGTCGGTCGACAAGGATTTAATAGAAGATCGCGATAATGCGGGCGTTGAAGGTACGCTTTAATAGGCTCTATATACGGAAGAACTTAGGGGACTTAGGATTGACCTCCTTTATACCCTAGAAATCGACATCCGATAGCAAGGAAGCAGAGATATTAAGCTTCTTACCGGCCTTGTTCTTTTGCTAATTAGTACGGAAGACAGTAAAGTAGAGGTTTATAAAGGTATGCATTATCGCAGGCACACTAATAATATGCTGCTTTCTGTTATATAGAGCCTTATTCTCGACACTACCGAAGACTATATAGAGCATCCGTTCTACCGTAAGCTAGTCGCCGATGTAGAGGATTAGCCGCTTAGCGAATATCGGGTCTTCTAGCTAAAGGCCAAGGTTAGTCTAATACAGATTATTATGTACTAGGATCGTGCCCTTATTAGAGATTTCATTATTCTAGGATAGCGGCATTAATAGGATCGGAGTCTTGCCCTTAAAGCTATATTCGATCTCTAGGAAGACTAGAAACTTAAGCGGCTTACTATTATTATCTTTAGCACCCTTAAAGATGGATTTGATCGCATCGCCGAAGACATATAAGATAGCCTCGTAGATTTAGAATAACTCGACTAGCTTGATAGTATTATCCTTATTAATGTTGTCGATAATAGCTTAGGTAATAACGGGCTTCGAACGATTATATATGTCCTACGTTAAGCCGCCTTCTAGGAAGTCTTCGTATAAGGCTATATACGAGTTAGTAATGTTAACCTGCTCGTTGTTATTAGCGATATCCGGATCCTTCTTCTTAGACTGTCGATTGAAGTTGTCGTAGCAGATCTACTAGATAAACAGTATAGCCTATTCCTTGATCTTTAGTCGCTAGGTATCGGCATTCTTCTTAATTAGAGTCTAGATTGTCTTGTACGACGGAATAAGACCTATACTATAGAAGACGTCGACAATATGTACTAGTAGGTTGCTAACGCATACTAGAAGGAGACTAAGAGACTTTAGCAACTAAGAAGCCCGCTTTATAGCTATTAAGTACACTACGATATACGTAAGTATACAGATACGCTTAGGTATTATGTCGCGCTTGTCTTCGAAGGAAGAAGCTCGCTGCTTTGTATCCTAGCGGGTATTAGGCAGTATGAAGTCCTCGAGCAACCGATACTAGTTTAGAGTAGTAGTTCTAATTACCTTATATATCTCCTATAGGCTACGGGCTAGGGCTAGGCTCTCCTCTGGCTTGTATACATTAAAGAACTTCTTGCCGATTAGGTTCTTTACCTCGTTGCGGAGCTCAACCGCGCTAATAAGGTTCTCCTTTAGCTAGAGGTCCTATATAGCATAGATGCGTTTCCGGAATGTCTTAGTACTACCTTTCCTACCCTAGATATATAATATCTCCTTAAATTTGATGCCGAGCTTGCGCATATGTGCTATTACATCCTTATACTTCTCCTTCTTAGTTATCTTCGGACGGCGCTAACTATTAGCATCTAGCTTAGGATCTTTAGCCTCGTTATTATCTATCTCTTCGAGGCCGCGAGTACCTAGTTGCTAGGTAGGTATATCGTTATTATTAGATGCGTTGCTAGCTCGATTCTCTTGCTTAATCTCGCCCTTACTCTAGCTCTCTTTATTAGTATCGGCATCCTCGTCCTTAGTTATATTATCGTCTTCCGGTAGCGGTGCATAGTTAATTGCCTTCTTCGCTTATCGAGTAGGTCTCGCCTATCGACGTATCTTAGACTCGTGCTTACGACCTTCTTCTAGTTACGGAGCCTCGGAGTTGTAATAGTCGCTTATCTAGTACTTACGCTAGCGATAACGAGCTCGATCGATAACTAGGACAGATAGGCCTAATCGAATTAGATCTAATCCCTCGCCTAGTAGAGGAAGATCCGATAGTGTCTCTTCTATTTTATCGTTATTATCCTCTAGCTTATCTTCTATACCGATATCTTCTTCCTAGCCGCGGCGGTTAAGATCCGAAGTGTTAGCAATGCTAGTAAGATTAGAAGAGCCTAGATCTTAGCCTTAGCGCTAGTCGTTTAAAGTAAACTCGGTTAGGTCGGAGTCTACTATTGTTAGCTAGCTACGCTAGTCGATCTTGAAGTCGCGTCTACTTTCGAGCTATATCTCGATAGGAACTAGTCGCTACTATACAAACTAAGAATCAAATGTATAAAGAAATACTTAGACTCGAAGCTCCGCGTGTCGGTTTAACTATTTAGAGTAGTCGATTTTAGCCGAAAGTAACTAGCGTCGGCTCGACGACTAGTACTTAATACTAGTATACCGGGCGTAGATGTATATAGTAAGAAAGTCGATCGGAAGTACTTTCCGAAGGGCCTCGAGTTAGTTTAGTTAAAAATCGGAGAGATGTTTCTAGCGGCTTCTTCGGCTAAGCGATAGGATAGTAGTAATAAGAAGTCGTACGGAAATTCGGATAACGGGGCCTTAGTCGGAATAATTAGGACAAGGACCTCCGAGTGTTGTCTTATTGCGTAGCGATATGTTAAGAATCGATGTGTTTAGGTAGGCGGAAAGCTATAGAAGTAGGCTCGGCTTAATTAGTGTAACTTAACGTATACACGTCGTAGAGACTTGATTTTTAGTTCGCTATATTCGGAAATAGCAGCGCTACAAGCTCTAAGTGTTGCTTTAGTCAATTTCGCGTGTCGCGTTGTGTTAGTATTTTAATAGCTGTAAGTACTAAGAAACAAGACGGTTTAGCTTTAGGCCTTTAGGCAAAGGATTAGGTAGAGTGGTGTGTGATTGGTTGCTCGGAAGTCGGCAAATGAACCCTAAATTATGCTATCACGTGCAATTCGAACCAATTTACTAGCGCGGAACGTAATCCTTAATGCATAAAGGCCTAAACGGAGGTAGGGCCTTTGTTTGCTTTGTCTGTTCGACCTAAGAGTAGTCTAGTTTGTTCACCTGTTTCTGCTTACCTAATACCCCTGTTTGCTTCGCCAACAATGGCTATTGTGTTTGGTTTGCTTCATTCTATAGCGATATATACGTACTGAGGGGGTGACTTGGAGTGTGTGTCCAGGTATCAGGGTCCATCACGTGCCTGATGCCTAAGGCTGCAACTGCTGCACTTCATCTTCGGACTTCCAGATAGATTAGTCCTTCTTCCTAATTACATCAGTTACATCAAGTTCATGATCTGGATCCACGGCGGCGGCCACACATCTGGAGGCTCAGCCTCACCCTACAAATACGGCGACCGCCTCGCGCGAGACCAAAATGTCATCGTAGTCTCCATGAACTATCGTCTCAATATTTTCGGATCCCCGGGAGCTTCAATATTTTCGGATCCCCGGGAGCTTCAGCCTTGGATGGTCGAAATCTGAATCCAGGCTTAATGGACCAACGCAAAGCTGTCGAATGGGTATATACCAACATCCACGCCTTTGGCGGAGATGCCGAAAAAATGGTACTTTTCGGACAATCGGCCGGAGGTGGGAGTGTTGACATGTATACATACGCCTACCCCAACGATCCACTCGTCAAAGGCTTCATCGCACAATCAGGCACAGCCTCGAACGGTGCAGTTCCCAACGGCTCGAACTTCACCTACGTCGCCTCAAAGGTCGGTTGCGGCACCACCTCCTCCGCAGACGAAGAGTTCCAATGCATGCAGAAAGCCAACGCAACCGCCCTCATCCAAGTCTACAACACCTACCACGCGCCCCTCAACCATGGAAAACCTCTAAGTTTCAGCACGGCCGCAGACAACCAAACCCGCTTCTCCAACTACACAAACCTCCAAACCCGAGGCCTCTTCGCAAAACGTCCGATCATCTATAGTACAATGAACAACGAAGGCGCCTCTCTCGCAACTTACATCCCGGGCTCCGAACCCAACGAAACCGCCGTCGCCATCACCAACGCAGGCACCACCTGCTCCGCCAACCAAGCCGCACTCGCAAAATCTTCCCACGGAGTCCCAACATTTCGGATCCGATATTTTGGCGAATGGCCGAATTTGAATCCTTTGGAGTGGCTGGGTTCCTATCATTCGAGTGATCTTCCTATGATTTTTGGGACGAGTGATTTGCGCGGAGCTGATACGGAGTTGGAGAAGGGGATGAGGAGGGATTATCAGGGAGCTTGGGGGGCTTTTGCGAGGGATCCTGAGAGGGGGTTGGAGGGTTATGATGGTGGGTGGCCGGAGTTTGAGGAGGGGAGTTTGAAAGTTGTGGAGTTGGGGAGGGAGGGGATTAGTGGGAAAGTTGTAAGGGAGGGGGATGCGGATTATGGGTTTGATTGTGGACAGAAATAGTCGAGAAGGCGTCGAATTCGATTATGTATCGTCTTGAATCCTGTGGTCGATATTGGGGCAGTTTCTATCATCTCTGATTGATCGTATTTCTGAATTCTCATGCAGTGACGTCCCAGTCGATTGATCTAGCAGCCTCAATCAATGCGGTCCCCCGCCCACAACTCAGGCTCATGTTGTGCACTGTCCTGTCGTCGAGGTGCATCCTGAGCAATCCCATCCACAATATCCTCAAGCCCAACCACCCCCGAACGCTTTCTCGCAGTATAAATATAAAGAATCGGATCCTGCAAATAATCATTCCAATATTGCCGACACTCCTTCACAGTCTTCGTCTCCGAGAAAGGCACATGTCGAACCTGACAAAAGTACTTCTTCGGAATCTCATTGTGCCCAGCATAATAAGCACCAATCGCGAAAGATTTAAAGGTCATGGGCGGCTGAGATGTAATGTGATAATTGAAAAAAAACCCCATCGGCAAAACATTGGAAGTTGTCGAATCGGACTCCGTATCTATCCTCCACCGCCACGCTGGATCCGGGATGGTTTCGATTGGCGATCAGTCGCCCTTCGGGTTTCAGGTGCTTTGCACAGTTGTACCACATTCTCTCAAAGCCCTTTGGCGTCCGTTGCGTGGTCGAAAATGCCGTTGGCGATGACCCAGTCGTATTGCTTCAAGCCCAGATGATCGAGTGACTTTGACACATCTGCCACGTGCCAGGTGATTTTGTTGCGGTTGATGGATTTTTCGTATTGTGTGCCATGGCCGATCATTTCGGCTGAGATATCGACTGCATCGACGTGTCGAGCGCCGGCGTTGAGAGCGTCGCGCGCCCTGAGAGCGGTCCCTGTTCCGAGATCAAGCACATCCAGGCCGTTGAAGTCTTTGAAGCAGATGCATATATCGAAGAGCTGCTGCTCGAGTTGGCCGAGAGAGGTCTTGCTGAACTGGTCGTAACTGTCAGCGTTCTCGGCATAATTCTTCACAAGAAGTGAGTTCGAAGTCATGTTCGAAGGCAGGGTGACATGAGCATGTTTGGAGGGGAGGTTCAATACCGCATCGTCTCTGTACCTGTCATGCCACATCTTGGAAAGCTGGTCGATCTTGCCACGTGATGGTCAATTGAGCCAATCGATTCAATTCGGTTCCTGCAGCGGCCAACATCCTTCGAAGAGTTGGTATGTTTGCCCTAGACCTCAGAAGCCGCCTTCCACGCTGTTGAGATTCGACTGCCTTTCCCAGCATACTAAGCTCCAAGAAGCAAGCGTTGCCTTGCCCAGCCCAAATGGCACCTGTCTCCGCGACATTGTTCGAGATGGGTCTACGAGATGACCTCTGGCCGCAGGCTCATACTCAGACCCATCGCGTTATACAACCCCAAATTCGATCAAACTCCTCGCACTATCAAGCAAACTCTGCTCAACCGTCTTGCTCGGCTGCCACCCCAATTCCCTCCTGGCCTTCTCAAAAGATCCAGCAAGCTCCTTCCCAAGATCAGGCAGACAAACCCCAACAACCGGATCAAAGTATCCCGCAGCCCTCATAACAAAATTCGGCAGCTTTCGTGTCGGGACCTTCTTCGTCTTGTCCGCGGGCAGTCCATTCCGTAAAATCTCAGCACAAGTAATAATATCCACAAACTCACAAACACAACTTTCCGAAGCCACTTCCTCTTCTCGACCGGAAATAGCCAAATAGCGTTGCCCATTCGCCCGAGAACTCTCCAGAGCTTTGATATGGAGATCCGCACAATCCCGTACATCGACCATACTAGTCCCATACTGAGGAACACCAGGCATACCACCCAGGAGAATCGGTACGAGTTTGAGACTCGACGCGAATTCCTTACTGAGGGTAGGTCCATAAATCGCAGCCGGGCACACCACCGCCAACTCCATTTTCCTCTCCGCAGTTTCATTGTGCGCTTGCACAAATTCCCACACCGCTTGCTCTTGCAACGTCTTTGCTCGCGGATAGATGTGTAATTTCTCTTTCGAATCCGTGAGATCTGTCCAGTCGACTTCGGTGAAAGGTTGTGATTTATCGCGTTCCATTCCGTGGCCGTGTGCGAGTGCAGCTACGGAGCTCGTGAAGATGAATTTCTGCACACTCGATGATGCTACGGAAGCTCGGAGAAGGCGGAGTGTACCTTCTTTCAGAGGTGTGATCAGTTCTTCCAATGTCTTCTCTTTGCCCGTTGCGATCATGCCGGCTGGATGCAGGACGGATTTGACGCCTGCGCAAGCCTTGGCCCATTCTTCGTCGCTTGAGGTGAGTAGGTCGAGGACTACGAAATCGAGTTGGTTCGCGATCTGTTCTTCGGTCGCGCCGCCGTGTTTTAGTTTTGCTTTGGCATCTTCGATGCGTGAGTCTGTTCGCACTGTGGTTCGGACGGAGTAGCCTTTCTGGAGGAGGTATAATATAATGTATCCGCTGAGGAATCCGCTGCCTCCTGTGACCAGGACTAGATCCGTGCCTCCTGTCATGATCAGATGTAGTGCGTAGTCTATGATAAGCTAAGAGAGAGGTTTGTTGGAAGTAGGAAGCTATCTCGGCAACCGTGATAGACAGGGTTGGAGATGTTCAGGGAATGGAGATCGGTAACATTTGTTTCTATTGAACTTAGCCTCTCATTTGGTTGATTTCTGTGCATAGAACATCACGTCTTCGATCCCAGAAGACAATCATGGATAGTTGGGCGAAGTACACAAGAGACAAGCTGTATGTTGGGAGAAAGTCGGTAATGCTTCGGCATAGTCTCGGATCAAGCCAACGACATCTCATCCGTGATGGACAGCTTGAACGGCAATCAATATTATCTTCACGATTCTACACTGTGGTTCGAACACTTTGAAAACCCCTCCGATCCCTCGCATTGTCCCGGCTTCCACACAATATCTTGACCGATCGCTTTCAAGCCATCCGAAGCATTCATTTCCTTCAGCACCGATTTTCCAAGGCCCTACTACCAGATGGTACTATTCCAAAGTTGAACCCGTACCGTCCGATAAGTACTTCCCTCCAGATAAGCGGTACGACTGGTTGAAGGTTTGCCAAGTATTAGCTTTGAGTTCGAATCTGGATGATTCTTGTCACTGCCCTGGGATTCTGAAGTATGCATCCTCATAGCTATGGAGGGATTGATCGAAGTCCCAAGAACCTCAGCCGCAAATCTTTTGTTGAGCTACTTTCGAAGCAGGTGATGCACACACTCCAGATTTGATGAATTTAAGAGTAGTGTCGATGGCTATTCAGTAATTTGGTTCCCAGACATCAAGTCCAATACCTCGCAGCATAGTCGGCATCAATCTTCTTGCAAAGCCGCCCATATCGAAGCTTGTCTTCCCACTGACGACGTGCACGTCAGTCAAATGGTGTAATCAATCTTTCTCACGCCACCGACTGTTTAGACACGCGTACGAGCATCTCTTCCGCCTCCGCAGAGACCTGGTAGTCCAGTGAAGCAGCACGTTTAAACGCTGTCGCCATAATTCAAGCGACGAAGAAAAATCCCCAGTCGTCTTCGCAATGAAAATCAAGAACAATCGCCCACAACCATCATCTGCTGCTCACGACGTGCACATACATCACCGATCGCGCGTCAGCCTCTCCGGCAGTCGTAGGGAATATCCGTTCTGCAAGCTCAAAGGAGAGCTTCATAGAAATTCTTGCTCATTAAGCAATACTTCATAGATATCTCTACAGACAGCGGCATTGAAAACGCTCAAGCAGGCCGAGAGTCCTGTTTTTCGCGCATACATATTTACAGTATAACATCACCCATTCCCTCCCGCTCCGGCCAGCGTTTTGATTGCGCTATGCCCAACGCCCGAACACCACCGCGATGCATAGATAACCAAGCGCAAGTCTAATCCGATTACCGGCCGTAGAAGTTCGTTTCGAATCGAACGCTTCTATAACCCATGCCCAAGCTTTTTTTGCGATCAACCTCATTCATCTACTCGGCCTTGCCTTGCGCCTTTAGCTTCGCAATCTTCCTGTCGCGTCTTCGCTTCACGGCCTCTGGAAAGCCTTCGGTGTCGAGAACCCAGTCCCACCATCGGAAAGAGCTGGCGTAGTTGCCGACGAATTTTTCGTGGTGCACGTCGTGGTGCTGGGCGCCTGCCCAGAAGGGAAGGAAGCGGTGTAAACTCCATGGAAAGTCGTATCCGGAATGTGCGTCGATTGCTTGGAAGAGGCGGAGGACGATCCAGATGTACATGGTCAGGACATGGAGGTTCTTGAAGATGGCGCACCACACGATGGGGACACCAACTGTGCCGAAGCCGAGAACCATGACTTCGATAGGCGATGCGTATTCAGCGGCGAGGCCGAAAGGCGCGGAGTACTGGTGGTGTATCTTGTGGATATTTTTGTATATTGGTCCCCAGTGCATCGAGCGATGCATCCAGTAGTGCCATGCATCCTCGAACACGAAGAAGGCTACGATTTGATAGGCCATGGTCCAGATGGAGGGAAATGGAACGGTGGTCTGCAGGCCGAAGAATTGAGCCATTGGGTGGAAGAGCCAGATCTGTGGGAGCTCGACGGTAAAGTGGGCGAGCAGCACAAGCATGGCGCAGTCCCATTGCTCCTTGGCTGATGGGACCTTTTCCTGTGATAGCTGTCAGCGTCCATCAGCGCATGTCCCGTAAGTACGCGCAACATACGGCCTGGATCTTGTACTTGTTGAAGGCCGGTATCTGGTCGATGATAATCCACGGCAGACTACGCCCGAAGTATACCACCTCGTGCATGACAAAGCTCATAATTCCGGTCGCGAGGACGTCATTTCCCATGAAGGCATACCATGCGGCCCATAATCGTTCGAAGTAGTTTAGGCCGCCGTTGTATTTGGAGATCTCGGCGAATTCGTGCCAGTAGGGGTTTTGTGTGTGTGGAAGCATTGCGTCTGTAATGGACGAGGCCGTCGCATTTTGGCTGTATAATGGCATCAGTATAATGCTCGGTCAAAGGTTCCCACAGGTGGTGGTGAGTGCATCGCGTATGGCGTATGCAGTTCGTCCGCATTGAGGCGAGGCGAGACAGCAGTAACGCAGGAACGCGGATCGGAGCTGCGAGAGAGGGAGGTACGTACAACAAGGAGTCCATTCCCAGTGTGAGCGACATGGTGAGTGTATTCGTCGCCGCACGAGGCCAATGGGTGGGTGGGTGGTGTAAAGAGTGTGGAGGGTGAGGCAGAGATCATTTTTCGAAACGAAACACTGCTCCCTTTCTTTGCCTCGCGGCCAGCATCCACCTGCGAGGCGCATAGAACATCTTACGATTTTTTGAAGGGTCCGGGCTAGCGCTTCCGCCACAACGGCTGCTTCCCGCCTCCCGAGATTGAAACTCTGCAACCCATTCCCATCACTTGCCCGGCCGACGTATTGCAAGGCGTGCATGTGTCCCTCGCCACTTCCCCGAGCCCCAGCTACCCGCCCGAGCCCCAGTAGATATACCAATATAGAATCGGCCTGAATGAGATTACGTGCTGTTTCCACCTATTACATATCATATCCATTCTTGGTTGGTGGCGCGGAGCGCGTCACCTAGGAAGTCGCGCCTACACCACCAGTACTAGCAGCAACAACAACAACAATAGTCGCTTATACAGCCAACAGGACGGCCACTTCACTACCAGGTGCTGCAACAACAGCACCATCAGTTCACTCAGCAGCAGTATCATATGCAGCAGCAGGCTAGTCAGCAAATAAGGGACCAATATGAGCCAGCATATATAGCATCACGTAGTTACAAGGCTGCAGGTCGTAATCCGCTTAGACCTGAGTAGATAGCAACCAACAACACCTTTAAATTTGCTATACCACTGATTTGCTAACAAACTTTGGCTTCATGGCTAGCAGCAGTATAGAAGTGGTTGCCCGGTCGGTAGTGGTTGCGGGGATCCGGAAATCGCTTCCCTACGCGATTTTGTTAGGAACAGCGGATTCCATAATCCACTGTATTGCTGGGGCTCGGGCGGGTAGCTGGGGCTCGGGGAAGTGGCGAGGGCATGTGTCGAGCATTGTCGCCTCGTGCACAGAATACAGCAAGTCTTTAACGCTCTAAAAGCCGATCCCACAGCACAATCGAGGTGGAGAAGATCGCCAGGAGAACGAGATCACGTGCGTCTCTAGCTCGCTAAGTCGCTGTTCGTCGTACGACTTGCGTAGGGATGGACTCTATTAAGCTCGTAGACCAAAGTGTTTATATTACCATGGTATACTCGAACTTCTGCTATAGACTATTTCTAAGACTCGAGGCGGATATTAGTAGGCATTCAGAGACCCTCGAGAGCCTCTTTACCTAACTATCGTAAGGCCCGTACCAACCGACGTTACAAAATGGTCTAGCACTGCTCGTCACATGAAACTTATATTCCTAAGGCATGCATGTTTCCAATATCGGGCTTGATTTGATTTGATCACACTGCGTTGCACCAAGAGTGCTACTGTAACAAGAGCCAACGCTTTTTCTATGTCAAGAGAATGTGTGTTTTGTGGGGAATGCATATAGACATCGTGACAGCTCGTCAGCCTAGTATCTCAATCAATGTAACAGTGGTTGTGTGGTTGACGGCCCCCGAGGCCAGAATCGAACGATGGTCAGCGCTCGACGCGCTGCCTGCTTGCTTGCTGTTGCCGGAAATGCTCTCGAGGTCGACCTGAGAGAGTAGTCGACGTCCAACGACGCCCACTTTTCCACCTTCATCACGAATTCAGCGCCTTCCTTGGCTTCCTCCACCACAAGCCCAATCCCGGCACGAATGTTTGCCCTTCCTTCAGATAATCCATCTGATTGATTCGTAAGGTGCAGTGGACGCACTGCCGCCATCGACCTCCCAGCTTCTCGCACCCGTGCGCATCCTACCGCACCTTCTTGATCTCTGTAGACCATCCTTCTATTCCATCGCCTTTGCTTCCCACTTCCACCGACAGCTTGACGCGTTCCATGCCCTTCGTTTCATCCAAGAACGGGTGATTCGCCATGCCGCCTGCGTTGGCTCTTTCTGCAGGTTGCAATTCCAGCATCGGGAGTAGGAAGTCTGCTATCCTCTTGCTTTCCTCCACCGAAAAGTGGTATTTCTCCCTCAACACATCGGGCAACGCCCAATGTCGCAACCTGTGGATATTGCGCAACTCGCCCTTCCTATTGAAAATCTCTTGCGACCATTTGCCAGAAATGCACAAGCTCTTGGGGAATGTACCCAGCAGTTCGATGATTTGCGCGATGTGATCGTCGTCCTTGCCGTACTTCGTGCCGGATTGCGGATCAAAGAGATAGTCGCCCGTGATTAGCTCGAAAACCTGCAATTGCAAAGTCAGCTGACGCTTCTCGCGAACATGCCGCTCTATCTTGCTTACCATGCAAGCCATACTCCACACATCCGTGCTGGCCCCCCATTTCGCACCGAGAATCACCTCCGGCGATCGATATTGTCTTGTCTGAATGTCATTCGTAAAATGATGCCCCACCCAGCATGCATTACCCAAGTCTGCAATCTTGACGGAAATGATGTCAATGCCATCGCCTTCCATGCCCGCTGGCTTAACGTGAGTGGTCTTGTCGAGGTCCATGTTAGACACGTTATTCGCGAGGATGTCGCTGCGCCTAGCATCAGTATCACGCTCAGCATTGTATGTGTATTCATCGTCCCCATGACTTACGCAGTCTTTTCTCGCTCCTTCTGCGGGTCTGCTGTGCCGCCGTCGTCTGTCTTGAGGCCGAGTTGTTCGAGCATGGATTTCGGAGGTGAGGGGTGAGATCCTAAAGCACCACTCATCTCAGCACCATCCTCTCCGCTCGGCGACACGCCACTTATCGGCGCTTTCTCATTACCTTTGCTGCCACTGACAATCTTGTTAAGACTTTGCGTGCTGCCAGGGAAGTTGGAGAGATCGCTCTGCGAAAAGCTCGCGTTGAGGGGCGAAGGCAATGGTTGCGAGCCAGTGATGAGCGTTCGCCTCCTACGGCGTCCGTTGCGGTGGTCTTCCTTGTTAAGAGTGTCTTCCTTAACGTACGTCTTGACGATTTGTTCCACGTCGCCGATTTCGATGAGCACGTTCTCGGGCTTGAGATCTGTATGAATAATCCCACATTCGCGGTGCAGGTAATCGAGTCCCAGGAGGACTTGTTTCGTGATTTGTTTGACGAGAGGCATGGGGATTCCCCTATGATTCCAACGCTTGATCAAGCCGAGCAGGTTCTCTCCCAGCACCTCGAAGACCATGCACACGTGCATGCCGTGAGGGCCCTTGTGGTTAAAAGAGTCCAGCAAGCTCACAACATGTGCTCTACCCGGGTGGTCCTTGTTGGCCTCGACGACCTTGTTCAGGAGCTTGATCTCGTCGAGGGCGGTTTCGGTGTAGTGGGCGGCGGAGCGGACGACCTGAGCGCGACATGCTTGCCGGTGGTGTTGTCCTTGGACAGCCAGACGGTGCTGAAATGGCCCCATCCGAGCTTGCGCACTATGGTGTACTTGCCATCCTTGTATTGTTCGCCTACTTGCACCGGGTGGTAACCACCCTTGCAGTAGTCCTCGGAATCCTCCTCGTCCGCCGTGTTTTCGGTGCCCTCGTCGCCGGAGGACTCGGATTCTGCGGGTGATTGGTGTAGGTCGTGGCCGTACTGGGCCTTTTGGTGGTTGAGCGGTGACTGGTTGCCCCGGGTACTGTGCGCATGGGGGATCAGCATTATGAACGATGGAGTCTGAGCGCAGGGAACATTGCAGTCGCAGCAATGTGCATGTTTCGTGCACGCGTAAAGTGCAAGTGAATCGGGTGGAAGTGTCTGAGAGTGGTGTAGGTCGTGGCGGCAGCGGCGGAGTTCGAGACCGGAGAAAGTCTCGGGTATCGGCGGGGGAGGTTCAGGTGGTAGGGTTGGGTTGAGGGATGATGTGAGATACGGGCAAAGCAAGAACGCTGCGATCAGCAGCCATGCGAGACAAGACACAGGCGCGCCGCCGCGCAGTGCAGCACGCAGCAATTGAGCGGCGTCGGTGTGCAGCGCAGCGCAGTGCAAGAGCTCACTTGGTGGAGGAAAACCAACATGGGAGCGCGCAAACTCACCTCTGCTGCTGCTCGCTCGTTATGATGGGCTTGAGCTCATTCTTCCTCCTCTTCTTGCCGTTGTTGCTCCCGTTGGACGAGGTGGATATGGAGGGCGTGGCGGCGTTTGCGAGTCCCTTGGCCTTGTGGATGGCCGCTTTTTTCAGGCTTTCGCTGCCGTTGTTCATGATAGTAGCAGAGTAGATATGCAGGCGGGGCGGGGCGGGGCGGTGAGCGATTTAGAAGAGTCGCGATTCGATTCGATGCGGGTGGCAGGCGGCGGTGCGATGACGAGTGCGGTGCGGCGGCGGGATGCTACTGGATTGGCGCATTAACCATACATGAACGTCTGCTGTAGTCCGACGTCTGATGTGCGGCTACAGGAGTCGAGCGGGCCAGCGCACGCAGTGGCCAGAGGCAGAGGCGGAAGCAGAGCCAGTGACGTCTAGAATAGCTTGCAGGCAGGACAGTCCAGACAGGGCTGCCACACTGCCGCGGGCTGGTTAAAGATACACGATCCAGGCACGGGGAAGGGAGGGAAGGGGAGGGAGGGAGCTGTGCTGCAGGTAGGCGTGGGCGTGGATGTCCTCGGAGGTCCACTCACCACGGCAACGAGCAACAAGCAATGCTGATAACTTATGACGATACCTGATCTGCCTGCCAGACCTTTCCTGACCTGAGCCTTCTCCCTTCTCTTCTGTCCCCACCACCCTTCACTGCTGGCACTGGCAGCTGGCTTTGGCGGCTGAGTTTTGACCAGCGAATCACGCAATGCAACCCAGAGCATGTGGAGAAAAAGCAGCACTTCCCACTGCGTCGTTTCTCTTCCTTATCATTCCCCCAATCAATGCTGGCAAACAACGCAAAGGCAGCACATAGCTCAGCACTGTACCGACCGTTGGGACATCTCTGGTCCAGCTCTGTGCCCTTTGCGCCGCAGATACGTGGTCGGCGGCATGATGCAGTGGCTGGCAACGCACGAGTCGCGGGCACAGCTCTTTCATCACCGCTCCCAGACAGCTCCATCACGCACCGACTACCGCTCTGTCATGCCACACTTCTGACACGTGATATGTCTTTGCTCTCCACCACGACACTGCATCTTAAGCACATCATCAGAGGGATCATTGCATCAAATGTGAATGGACGCCAATTTGATGATGTTCAGCGTTGCTGTGAGTAGCAAGTGTGGGTCTATCCAAGTTCTAGACTTGATCTCAGCTATCTAGGAGAAAGCGCGGCTGTAGATAATCCCGTCTGGCTGAGACGGCCGTAGTATATCATAAACTCTAATTAAGTCAGTAAAGAAACGGGGGAGTCCTCGGAAATGTCGTCCTCATCCAAATCGCCTCCTGTTAGGCGCGAACCTCGATCTTCTGTTTCCTACTAGATCAAAGTCTGGACTTAAGGGACTCGCTGGTGTGCTGGGTGGACTGGGTGGACTGAACTCTGCAGGGTTGAGAACAGGCGTGTGATTCTTCTGTATTCGAAGCTCCAGCTCTTGAGCGGCCAGCCTAGCCTTCTCCGCATACATACTGTCTCTCAGTGTCCGACCTGCACTCGAGGTGGTGTTGTTGGTGAAGCTGATCGCTCGTATCTGGTTTGATCGGGTGCGGATGTAGCTGTCGCCGAATGACATCGCTGGGAACAGTCGTGACACCAAACCTTTCAGGGTAGGTATATTCTGTGAAGGTCAGCGAACGTCATTTGCCGCGCGCCTTGTGTATGTACTTACGCAGGCAATGATGCTAGTGTTCAACTCCATAGACGACCAGATAGCTGCTGTGGGGTTGTTCCAGGAAGGATCGAGAGACTTAGATATTTTGTGAATGGCAGGCAGACGCAAGGCCGACATAATGCAAGTGATGCCTCCTACGCCGAAGACCAGCATTAGAATGATTTTCTGAAGTCGCGGGAAGTTCAGTCTGCTCAGCGGCGCAATTGGTAGAATCGTGATGAAGATGTCGGCGAGAATATTGCCACCAGCCATAGTGTACCATATCGTCACCCTGTCCAGACAGTCGCCCTCGCCTGGAGGTTTTCTCCAAAAGTCGTAGGCCGGATTACACATAAAGAAGCAAGCGAAGAAGCCGAATAGTGTCCAGCTCACGATGAGGGCCATCAAGACGTAGCATATAATTCGATAAGAACGCATCGGGATGAAACGGAGGTACTGGAAGAGGATGGACAACTTGACCACCCCAAGTCCAAGAGCATAGCTCCACGTCGAGGCCCAGAACCATTTAATCAAAACGACCTTTTCTTCTGCAGACAGTGTTGAAAAGTGCTTTCCCATGCCATATTGTACTATCGCATGTCAGCTGAGGTGGTGAATCGTGGAATCACGCATGAAATGTACCTTCCTCGCACATCGTGACAGTGACGCCAACTGAGATGAGCTTTGTCGTTCTTTAGCAGATATATTCCTCGGCGAGCTATCACTACTCACCACGGATGTTATGACGAGCAAGTCATCGACGCCTGCATTCTTAGAGATCTTGACCCTCGTATAGACGCGCAGTGCGGTAAGCAAAGCTGCGACCGCGGTAAAGCTGATAATGGTGACGGTGACTGCAGTGCCAGTGGTATGTCCATCCTCTGCTGACCTTTTTGCGCTGAGGTGCAGTGTGCGCAAATCCAGAATGATCATCGGGGCGCTCGTGCTTTAGTTGGTCAACCAGAATTCTGAAACAGCTTGTAGCGTGGCTACCTTGTAGTGCCCGTGCTCGACAGGTTTACGAGGCCTTTGGATGTTGAAGCGCCCCAACTCTTTTATCTCGAAGATGATTTGCTTCAGTCGCTTCGTGATTATGATTAATGTTCGAGCTGCTGGGCGACGGCCAACTCGTGAGTGTTGATCGCAATGTGAGAGTGCACTGCCTTCGCCAAGTCGATATTCCAGGCCGCAGTGCTGACAGCCTTGTCGACGGACTATCTTGTGCTATCAGATGTTGACTTCTGCTTTGCAGACATGTACCCAGGATCACTCCAACATTGGATTTCGGCACAAGCATGCTCCCAAGTGAACATGCCTGCTCAATGGTTCGTCTCGTGGGTTCAATAGTATGAGCGATCGTCGGTGACACCACAGGTGACGGGTGACAGGTCTTGCTATCCCCAGCGCCTTTATGCCAATCTAAGATGCAGCTGCTCTAAAGAAATGGCGCTTGCAGGCTGTTTGGTCGGGATTTCCTCAAGAATCAATCGCTTCTCTCATCAGAGGGCTGGGGAAACATCCTACACTTACCAGCTGCTAGCCCATGTATCTCGAGATAATCGTGGTCATGCGCCATGTGCATTGCTCGAGGGTCTTGCACTCGCTGGGATCTCTGCGCAAGGGTGGACTGAGGGGTAGTTGGAAGCATCACTGCTGATGATCGCGAATACCTCTGTACCGACGAGATGAATCGACAAAGATGTGGCTGAAGGTATGATGTACATCTGCCGTGACGAGTGTCGGATCAGGTGGTTCCACACCTCTGTGGTCAATATGGCGTCCAGAAGAGAAATTCTGTGCGGGAATCAGCAATCGTGGATGGTCAATAGCTTCCGTCGTTCAGCGAAGCGCGAACGCGACTCCACGAGTATGCCAGCATGAAGAAGTCTCTTTGTCGCTAGCAAATGCAGGTACACATGGCGGTGAGCGAGGATTGGAGATTTGGAAGGCATCGTCTCGTCCCATGAGGGTCCTTGAAAATGAGCTCTCCCTGAAGGACGAGGTTGCCGTCGTCGTCATGGAAGAACACGAAAAAGAAGAGCCGTGCAAGAGCCGTGGGGAATCCTAGACGCTTTCTGGCTGCTCTGTACAGGATTATGATTCATGCTGATCTTTTTGTGGTGAGCCTTGTGGCAACATTAAATAGGTCGCTAGCGCTGCATAGGATATAAAAGTGTATGAACTCCGTATATTGTTCCCACAGAGGTGGAACTGGGCTTGGAGTCTTGGACGCGGTCGATAAACTCAGCCAAGAGAGAAAGTCGAACGGGTGGCCCCAGTGGTGGGAAGGGACAGAATACAGATCCACTGATTGGTCTGTGCGTGCCGAGGAGCCGAGATGAAGTCGACGTTCTTCACGCGGCAAACCGTATAATACCTAAAGCGCTAGGATACGCTACGCCGGCAAGTTCCTGCCGCAGCGGACTCGGTAAGATGTAGAAGTCCGCGCCGTAGTATACGTAACTATAGAAAACGTAATCTCGTCGTCGCTACGCGTCGTAGTTACTAGGTCGACTATAGTAGTAGTAAGAGTAGTAGTAAGGATAGTAGTGCGATTTCCGCTAGTATACTAAAGGTCGATAGTAAGAGGTCGTACGGTCGCAATTTAATAGATTTCGTACTATTTTAAAAGACTTTAACGACCCCGCATTTTCTACTAATAGATACTAGGTATATTACTAGAAATAAAGCTAAAGTTTGTTAGTAAAACAGCGGTATAGCTAAATCCGAGGTATTGTTTATATTATAGTAGAAATACGTATAGAAGTATTGCTTATAGACTATAGACTTAATAGATCTATATAGTAGGCGCGCCTATTAATACTCTAGTAGTATATAATAAAATGTGCTCCTAGGCGGCTAGCGCGTGCCTAGAGGAGTGCGAGCGAAGCTTTCGCCTTATATATACTAAGCTAATTCGGTTCTTTAGACCTCGAAGCTAGACCTTAAAGCTATTACTATTATTATACGATTTAGTTCTACTAGAACAGTTTATTAGGAATAAGTATTTTTATATTTTTGTATTACTATTTTTCTTTTCTAGTATTTTAGATACTACTTTATTATTTTTAACTTTATATATATTACATACTTTTATTCTAGTTTTCTCTAATTTTTTATATCTATTACTACTTTTTATATTATTAAAAAAACTATTTTCAATTTTTTTCTTTAATGTTTTACAGTTTTTCTACTTAGTATCTTACTTGTTTTACTTACCTATTTTATATTTTCTTATTTATTTTTATTATATGTTTTCTTTTTTCTAATACGTCTAAGTCCTCTTATTTATATCCTTATTTATTACTTGTTTTCTATCTTACTACTTAGTTTAGTACTAGCTTATTATTTAGTCTATTAATTAGCTTATTATTTAGTTTATTATTTACTTTGTTCTCTAGTTTTTTATTTAATCTATTATTTGCTTTATTATTTAGTTTCTTCTCTAGTTTATTATTTACCTTCTTTTTGACTTTATTATAAGTTATTTATTTACTAGAATATAATTTATTTTATTAATTGTTTAACTAATTGTTTAACTAATTGCTTTACTAATTGTTTAATTAATTATTTAATTAATTGCCTTACTAATTGTTCTACTATTGTTTTATTCATTGTTTTATTAATTGTTTTGTTAATTGTTTTGTTAATTGTTTTGTTAATTGTTTTGTTAATTGTTTTGTTAATTGTTTTATTTATCGTTTTATTAATTGGTTTATTAATTGTTTTGTTAATTGTTTTGTTAATTGTTTTGTTAATTGTTTTGTTAATTGTTTTGTTAATTATTCTATTAATTGTTTTATTAGTTGTTTTATTAGTTGTTTTATTAGTTGTTTTATTAATTGTTTTGTTTGTTGTTTTGTTAATTGTTTTACTAACTAGGATAGTACCCGTACGTAAGTACTTCTGCTCCTTCTACTTACGTAGTAATAGCGGTAGCGCCCGCGAGTTTTTAAATTTTATATATACCTAGTATAGCGGAGCCGCGAATTTTAGGGTTCCTCGCTCTTATTCTCGCTCTCGTTCCTTTAATATTTTTCGGTAATTTTATAAATTTAAATCGTATGTTTTCTATAATTAAAATTAATTTTTCTATAGGTTCTTTTATTAAAAGTTGTTTTATAAATTCTTTTATTAATGTTTTAGTTAATTTTCTTATTAATTTTCTTATTAATTGTTTGTATCTTTTACTATATATTTTACTATATATTTGAAGTATTAGAAGGAAGGCAAAAGGCTTTACTAGCGGTTGTTCGGGAAGTCGGCGGTTATTCGGGAAGTCGGCGGTTGTTCGGGAAGTTAGCGGTTATTCGGGAAGTCGGCGCTTGTTCGGAGATACCGGCGCTAGCTCCGAAAGTCTCTACTTGTAGAAATTAACCAATTAGGTATATAGGATTCTAAAATCCGGGGTCGGCTTAGCGTTACGTATAGCTAAGTGCGCATTTTAGCAACTAGATTAGTACCTACGTTGCTATTGTAAGGCGATATAAGAACCTAAGCAAGTAAAGTCTCCTATTATACCTTAGCAAGCCTATATAACAATTATATAATATTATTACGTATACTATAGTGCTATCTCGCCGGCGCAAAGCCTACTTAGCGTATACGCGGAAAAGCTCGGTCGCTCGTATAGATATACTCGGTTGCCGGCTCGGTATATATACTATCCGTATATAGCCTAGTTAATAGTAAACGCTCTACTCTATTCTAAAAAAGGTACGGTTTAGTTCTACTTTTCTACTAACGGCGATTCGTAGAGGGTATTCTATTTATTACCTTTATACCGTATTTTCTTATAGTTCTAACTATCTACCCTTCGTAGCGGCCTATAGAACCCCAAAAGATAAACGTAAGCGATCCGAATACGCCGAGCGCGGGAAACGCGTAGAATAATGCCCTAGGAGCGCCGATAGTATTAGAAAACGACGTAGCGATACAATAAGACGAAGCCGAATACTAGGCGCGCCGAGAAGCGACCTACCTATAGCTCGAACGATTTCTAGCTAAGCAAGAAGTGCTTAGGCTAGAAGTCTAGGCTTAAGAAGCTAAGCGAGAGAATGCGCGTCTTCGTATTCTTAGGGACGTAGGTAATACGCTAGCTCCGAGCTATCTCCGGTTTAGACTCTTACTAACTAAGCGTAAGGAAGTGTAGTAGGTATAGGTCTTCTGCCTGCCTTCTACTACTATGCTCCTTCTACTACTACTACTACTACTACCAATCTATATCGGACTACTACGCGACCGGACCTATACTACTACACTAACCTCCTTGCGCTAGTAAGGGTCTAAGGACAAATATCGCAAAGCTATAGAGGCAGTCCTTATAAAAATACTAGGTTATTAACTAGCGTAAAATCTCGTAATTTAGCACTCGCATCTTATTGTCCCGTTAATTCTAAGTCATTCTATATATATAGTATTTAAATGCAACGCGTAGTTGTTAAGAAAATAAGTAATATTTAATATAGGTAGCTATAGGTATGCGACGGGTTAGTATAGTGTCTAACTACCTAATATCTAATATACGAAATACATATATCTAAGACTAGGAGATTGTAGAGCGACTATTTCTAAATACTGTTTGTATAGACTACGTATATCCCTAATGCCTACCTACTAAATGCTAGCCCTTAAGCGAAGCTAACTTGTTTGCTAGAATTGAGACCTTCGAATATCGATAAGCGATAATGCGGAGGTTATAGAGCGGCTATTTCTAGATTACCTTAATGCGAGCGATATATACGTAGAGCGTAGTATTGTTATATTGTATCTAAGTAGCGGAGGCTATTTAGCTAGCTTAAATCTATCGATAAAAGCTAGTACTATAGGCTAGTATTATAGGCTAGCACTATAGGCTATCGTAGATTATGCTTATCGCTAGTTGCGCTCCGTTCTACGCTAAGCAATAGAAGATTCTCGTATACGGCTTCCTATAGATTGTCGTTTGTCGCGCTAATTAATATCGTATATACCGTATTAATCGATCTCGTGTTTGTAGAGATACTACTACTACTACTGCTACTACTACTATATATTAACGAAGTCTTATCGGCGTTACGACTAATTGTGCTATCTTTGTATATAAATCGTAAGTCGTAAACTAAGCCCTTTATACTTCCTTAGTTAAGTAGGTCTAACTAATAAAGCCTTGCCGCTTTAAGCTATAGATATAATAGTAGTACGGACGTCCTTCTTCGTCTCTTCTTCCTACTCCTACGTTCTTCTACCTATATTTAGCACTCGCACTACCGCTAGCGCTCGCGTCTAATACTCGTATCTAATACTCGCATCTAGCACTCGTACTGCCGCTAGCACTCGCACTGCCGCCAATACTCGCGTCTAGCACTGTTATTGCCGCTAATATGTCTAACTCTAACTCTAACCTGCCTAACGCGCTATCCGGTCTAGCGCCGCTATACCTCGACTCTAACCTCTTATCCGAGCCGCTATCTAAAATAAACTTAGACTCCGATTAGTAGGCGGAGATATAGGCTACGCTTAATACGGACCTTGCCCTTTAGTAGAACGAGCGTAATAAGCGCAATAAAGACGAAGCGCGTCGAGAGGCATTGTTGCAAGCGGTCGCTAATAAGGACATATACGAGCTAGAGGCGTATAAGCAGGATAAGATAAGCGATAATAATATCGCATTAGAAAAGGCGGAAGAGGCTCCTATTAAGGAAGATAAGGCTATCAATCTATTTAGCGATAACGATAACGAGGATAGCGATAATAGTAATAAGTAGGCGGATAATAAACGAGCGGAAGATACTAGCGGTATAGTAGCTCTATACCGCTAGACTCGATAGTAGGCGAGACTAGCCGCCGCCGCCGCAGGTCTTTAGTAAGGCGGAGATCGCGGCAATCGGACGACTCGAGGCACTTAGCGTATCCGTAGCTATCGTCGTACCCGCGAGTAGAAGTATACTAATATCTTCGGAGAGATAAAGCGCACTAGGTTGCCGCTAAAGTAGTAGATAATAATGTTTAATAGATATAGCGAGAAGCTAAACAAGA